CATTCCTTTCTCTCTCTGTGTGTATCTGCTATAGGCTTTTTCTTTGTGGTTACAATGAGGCTTGCATATAACATCTTTTATCTATAACAGTCTATTTTAAGTTGATAACAACTTAAGTTTGATCCCATTGAAAAGCTCAACGTTATTACTCTGCCCTGCAACCCTTTGTTTCTGAGGTCACAGTGTACATTTTTTCCCTGTGTATCCCTTAACTAATTGCTGTAACCATAGTTGTTTTAACTATTTAATTACTTTTGTCTTTTAACCTTTATACTAGCTTTGTAAGTGACTAAGCCACTACCTTTACTATACATTTACCTTTCCAGTGAGATTTATTATTGTGTTCTTGTTATTAGTGCCCTTTCTTTTCAGCTTACTGATGTCCCTTTAACGTTTCTCATAATGCTAGTTTAATGGTGATGAACTCAGTTAACATGCTTGTCTTGAAAACTTTCTCTCCCCTTCACTTCTAATTATAACTTTGCCAGGTAGGATATTTTTGGTTGGAGGATTTTTTTTTCTTTAAGCGCTTTGAATATTTCATGCTACTCACTTCTGGCCTGCAAAGTTTCCACTGAAAAATCTGCTGATAGACTTTAGGGGAGTTCCCTTGTAGGTAACAAGTTGTTTTTCCTTTGCTGCTTTTGAGATTCTCACCTCGTCTTTAAATTTTGACATCTTAGTTATAATGTACCTTGGTGTGGATCTCTTTGGGTTCCTCTTATTTGCACCCTCTGGACTTTCTGAATCTGGATATCAGCTTCCTTCCCCAGGTTAGGGAGGTTTTTCAGCCATTATTTCTTCGAATAAGATTTCTACCCCTTTCTCTCTGTCTTCTCCTTCTGGGAGCCCAATGATGTGAATGTTAAACCATAGGACATTGTCCCATAAGTCCCTTAAACTATCTTTACTTTTTTCATTCTTTTTTTTTCTTTTTGCTGCTCCAATTGAATGAGTTCCACTGCCTTGCTTTGAGGTAACTGATCCTTCCTCTGCTTCATCTAGTCTGCTGTTGAACCCATGTCGTGTATTTTTCAGTTTAGTTTTTGTATGTCTTATCCCTGTGACTTCTATTTGATATTTTCTTATATTTTCTTTGTTGAAGTTCTCACTGTGTCCATCCATTTTTTTCCCCCAGTTGAGTGAGCATCTTTATGATCATTTCTTTGAATTCTTCATCAGGTAAATTGATTATCTCCACTTCATTAAGGTTTTTTAAATTAAGTTTTATATTGTTTTATCTGGAACCCATTCCTCTGTTCCTTCATTTTGCTTGACTCTCTGTATGGGTTTCTGTACAGTAGATGAAACAGCCACCTCTCCCAGTCTTGAACTAATGGTCTTGTGTAGGAAATGAAGCTTGACAAACCCTCCCTCAGGTCTTGGTTGTCTCTAAAACCTTTGGGTTTGTCCATGCAGCTTACTACATTAATAGCTCTCAGTAGTTGAGGATGTGCCAAGATCTGTTAGTGCCCCCAAAGGGGAGGAGCCTAGATTCAGGCTGGCTGGAAGCCAGACTCTTAGACATCAGCCTTTAATAGCATGCAAATATACACAGTCCTGTGGGACCACCAGTTTTGTAAGTCCCACTGGCCACCAGGGTCAGGCAATCTGAAGGTGTACCTTGGGCAGTAGTCACAGTAATCAGGTCTCCAAACAAATGCAGAAGCTCATTTCTAGGTGATACCAGCGAGCTGGAGCAAAGCAGAGGGGGAGCCAAGATGGCGGTGCTCTTGGGTGCCAAGATGACCACAACCCTGGTTCCATGAAGGCAGCTCTGTAAGCCACTAATTATGTGCCAGATCTGAAGCCCACCCCTCAGGATGAATCTGCAAGACAAGTACAGAGTCCTCCTTCACAGGAAGACTCAGTCTGCTATTTTGCAGTGCCCTGGGGGTGAGAGCCAGCCAAGAACTGGATTGCCATAGTACCAAAGCACCCAGGAATGTAAGCCTCTTCAGCCACCAGAGCCAGGCAACCAAGGTGTGTACCCTGGGCAGCAGCTGTGTAAAACTGGGGCACCAGACATATGAAAAGCTCCCTTTCAAGAGACACTGGTGCTTAAGACCACAGCAGCTGGTGACCTTGGAGATAGCACCTGCCCTCTGAGGTCTGTGTAAAGGATTGCAGTTGGCATCAAGATGCAAGTTTAATTAGAAGCCTGCCCCTCAGGCCACAATCATGATGTGCTAGTAGCGCTCCTTCCCAGAAAGACTGAGCTCTTGGGTCTGTTGCCTCTTGCTGTGCCCTGTGGGTGCTAGCTGTTTAAGAATTCTTTTTCCTTGGTCACAGTCCTGTGAGTTCTGCAGTGAAAGCCCCACTGGACACCAGAGCTAGGTGATATAGCAGCGTCCCCTGGCAGCACTTGCAAAAATTGGGGCACCAGACAAGGGTATGAGCCCCTTTGTCTGGGTGACTGATTATTTCAGTCACATGGGACCAGTACCACCAGCTCCCCTGGCCTCCAGAGCCAAGCAATCAAGAGGTGTCCCCTGGGTGTTAGCCACAAAAATCAGGGCACCAGCCACATGTTAGAAGCTCCTTTCCAGGAGATATTAGTGCTCTGGAGAAGGGCAAAGGGAGAGTACCAAGATGGCACCCATCAGTCTCAGCCCCCAGAGGTGTTCCAGTAGGCTCCTAGGTGTGTGTGTTAAACAAGATGCCTGCCCCTCAGGCTGACGCCTTAATATCAGCAGAGGGCCTCCTTTCGGTCTGGTGCGATTGGCTGCCTCTGCGCTGAGCCCTGGGGTGGGTGAGTCCGAGTGTGTGAGCCCTTCAAGAGGCATTTCTCAGATCACTACAGTCTTGGTCTGGGGACGCAATCAAGCCCAGTTGGTTTTCTAAGTTAGACGTTTGCGGGGCTCATCTGTCAAGTATATGTCTTAGAAGCCGAGATGCTTGATGAAGGGTTTGAATCTTCACTCCCCAAGGAGGGTCTCTGAGTTTTGAGTTCCCTCTTGGTTGTGGGGCATCACACTAGGTGGGGGTTTATGGCAAGACTGTGTCCCAGCCCCTCCTACCCACTTTGATGTGCTTTTCTTCCCATTTGCCCAATGAGTAATCATCACTCAGTCAGCATTTAGGGTTTTTTTTTTTAAGAAATTGTTCTGTCTGTAGCTGTAGACAGTGTGTCCACGGGATGAGGTGAGTTCAAGATCTTCCCATGTCTCCATCTTGAAGTAGTAAATTCCTCCTGGGATACCTCATGTTGACTGAGTTAAGATTTGTATGTTATTTTCACCCTTTTGCTGATCACCATACATCTTTCTGTACCTACCTCAGATTCTGCTGTTTCTATTAAATTATTTTTTCCCCAATCTGGTAGCTCTTCCTCTTGAATCTCCCAAGTATGTTGTATCTCTCTCAGGGAACATACAGTGCTGTTCTGCTTTGTCCTGTGTTTATGTTCACATGAAAGTAATAAGAGTATCTACTTCAAATAGTTGTTATAAGGATTAAATAAGTAACATGTGTACAACTCTTAGAACAGTGTCTTGCACATAGTAAATGCTGTGGAAATATTAGCTGCTAACATCAGCATTAATTGTAATATTTAGAAATCTCTTTATACTTCAAATTTGTAAAGGAATTTACCTGCCTTTTCTCCTAGAATGTTTATGATATTTTTTTAAATATTTGATTCATTTGGTCTTTTATTCTAATGAACAGGGTAAAGTATACCACTTTATATTTCTTAACCCTGCTACTAAATCAGCTCACTAACATTAATTAAGTCTTCCATTTCTCCCCCAGTGATCGGAGAAGCCACTTGCATCATACACTGAATTCCTGCAGGTAACTTGAGTCTCCTTCATATGCCAGAACGACACAGCTCTTAAAGTTTATTTATAGTTTGTCTCCAGATCTGATAGGTGTGGTCTCCCCATCACTCATCTCCCTCTGGCGACCCTTGCAGTAAGGTCCCAAATGACTAGAATTAGCATGTTTAGTTTGGGAGAAGGGGGAAGAACAGCTGAACCCAGTGGTATTTGTTAGGGAGTAAGGATGTTGTTAAATTTACAAACCAACATGTATGTGTTGTTGCACTTCCCTAAGTACGTGATTTGTCTTTATATTTGTTCCAAGTGTGCTTTTGTTCATCAGGACTGTTTCCTCATATGGGCCTCTCACATTTTTTTTGTAGCATTTATTCCTAAATATTTTACCTTTTTTGTTTCTATTTTAATGTCTTCCCTTTTCTTCAGTTTTATCTTGTAAATGGATATTTATATCATGAAGCCTTTTTTTAGTATATTAATTTAATGTCAATCATCTGCCTAAACAATCTTACTGTATATAGAGGTTTTCAGCTAAGTTTCTCGGGGTCTCCAGGTACATAATCATATCATCTACAAACAGCAGAGCTCTGCATCCTCCTTTACAATTTTTATACCTGTCTCTCATTAAATTTTCTTTCTTTCTCTTATACAATAATATAATATAGTATGGTATAATATCATTATAATCTCATATAATCACGTTCACTTATACAGTTGTGCTGCCTAATACCCCAGATCACTGCTGAATAGTAGTATGATGGTGAACATGCTTGTCTTGGATCTGAATTTAGGAAATATCTCCAGTAATTCCTCATTAAGTTAGATGTTGGCTTTGGGCCGAGATATATGTGTTTTATTAAGTTAATGAAGTGCCTTGATTACTTTTGTATTGAGTGCTTTAAAAAAAATAGCTGTTTAATTTTGTCAAATGCCTTTTGAGAGTCTTATGGAGATGATCATGATTTTCTCCTTGGATTTATAATATGATGAATAATATTAACCTCTCTCCTGATATAGAACCATTCTTGCATGTCTGGCATAAATCTCCTAAAGACAGAAATGATTCTGCAATTAACAGTTGGCTTCTATTTGCTAATGTTTTATTTTTTGTTGTAATATTTATAAGTGACCTTTTTCTGAAGATGTTTTGTGCAATATTTGCCTAGATACATTATTTCATAAAGAGTGAGCAAAACAATGATACTATAATTCTATAATTTATTTATCAGTCAATAATTCTATTTATTCTTAGATACAATAAATACTTCTATAAGGAGAAACTTTCCTTCATCAACTACGTGGTTACACTGAGGTCTAGTTTATACTGAAAAGGCAGAATAAATGTTCCTTTTATCATTTTTTAGAATAATGAGTTTGTTTCCCCGTATTCTCCAAAGAGAACCAATGAGGTTTTTGTGGATTTCCTTCAGTCTGTCTATGAATTCATGAATTTTTTATGTTTTTGATGTTTTAACCATTGCCATTATTATCAAAACTCAAATTGTCCCGTTTCTGGCTGCTGGAAGTCTTCAGCGTGCTGCTTTCAGAGTCTTTGGTGTCCCTGCTTTCTTGTGTGTCAAGGTTTCCAGATTCATCCTGCACAACTTGCCTTGTAGGCCTGAGCAGCCAGATCCTCACACTCCCCCTTGTAGGATCACTGGGTCTGGTCCTACAAAAAAAAAAGTCGTGAGCTTGCGCAAGGAGTTTGTGTTTATAATATGTTAATTATAATATGTTACACATTGAGACAGATTAGAATAAAAACAAAGTCACTTCTCTAAAAGCATCATAGCAGATCAGAGAGAGGGCTGAACCAGAAATCAGAAGACCCAGGTTCTAGACTCAGCAGGACCACATATGCCTCTGGGTCCATAGAAATAATTAGCCTTTATGAATTGTACACACTTACAAGATATTTAAGAGATACAATTGAGTGCACAAGTTGATTAGATATGAAGTGGGAAGGGAGCAGAAAGAATCAAGAGTGACATCCAGCTTCTAATTTTGAGTAACTGGATGGATGGTGGAAATACTGGAGAGAAAATAATAATGCCAGATTATTAGGATCAATTGAGATAATGTACATATTTAATTTACATGTAAATTAAACAAATTCTACAAAAGACCATTAACATTAAGAAAATGATACATAATGTTCACTGAAAATATGGTATGTATGGAATAAATTATAATTAACTAAAAATGGGAAGTCAAACAATAGTACAATCTTATACCATGTGAGGTAAGTGGAAGAAAAATAAAATAATCTTATTGTTAACTTAAAAGAAATGTCAGGAATAGATACAGAGGATTTGTAACAATTTTAAATTTTCTGTATTCTTACTTATCCTGAGGTGCCATTGTTCTTATTTAACTTACTCATTATTTGTTCTGAAACAATTGCATCACAGTAAGAGTAGATAAATAGAACCCTGGAGTACTGTAGATCACTAAAATGTTGGTTGCTTTAAACAAAAAGTATCAAATCAAGTCAGTTTCTAGATTGCTGTTCTCCTGGGCACTGGTTCATCCTTCAGAGCTGCCAAAGGGTCTTGTCACTCCCAAGCCTCTTTGACACGCAGGACTAATTGTTTGTAGCCCAAGGCACGGGATGTCCTACTTTTAAAGGCATCGAGACAAGCATCTTCTGAATTATCTGATCACTCTAATTCTTCTACGTTAATGGCACAATAATGGTGTTTTAAAGTCCTTTGTTTTAAGTTAATAGTTCTCACTCACCTGCTGGGGTTTAATCAAGTACTCATTCTGCCCACAGATGATTCAAATTATTTCAGACCATCTGTCTTAGTTTCAGATGCATTTTTAAGCTATTCATATTTTGAATAACTTTCTTTAAAGAGCATAAAAAGCATCTTGATCTTTGGTCCAAACCTCTCAACAGTCTAGATACATAAAGTTTCTCCAAATTCCCCCTGCCTTTAGCGACCTGGCCACCTTCAAAATCCTAGAGAATTCGTATGAATGATTCCTTCATCACAGCTTCTGCTGCCTGCTATTGTTTGCAGTTTTAAAAGCTTACCCTATCTTTCTAACTAGATTGAAAGCCTCTAAAGATGGAAACAACCAATACTTATTTTTATATCCCTTGTGCATAGCATAATACTCTGCATGTTTTAAAAAATATGATCAAATCTTTGCTGATGATACAATAAGGTAGGATAGCACTGGGATTAAGAGAAGCGCCTCTGGAAGTACGCTGCCTGGTGTGAAACGCCAGCTCTGCTTCCTCGGAGCTCCATGACTCTGGATAAGCCCTCTAACATTCCTGCTCCTCAGTTTTCTCACCTGTTACACAGATGAGACTATACTGTACCTATCCACAGGAGTATTAGAAAAGGAAACAGGTTTATGTGTCAAACATCTAGATCAGATTCTTACCATATACAAAGTAGCATATAAATGTTTGCTTGACAGGGATAATAATCTCTCTTTCGCTCTATTTAAATTTAGACCTTGATTTAGTCAATATTGTGATGTCACTATATGTAATATACATTAAGCAGTGTTTCTTTCAACAAAAAAATAATCAGGAGCATCATCCTCACCTTAATTTTTCTAGAATTAGCTACAACTGCCCCCAAGACCTCTAGGAACAGATTAACATGACGCTAGATTGGCAGGATAGTCTGATTAGCTGCTTGGTGACATGCTGGATGATAAAGCAGGGGTGGACATTCGCCAGGTGAATACCATTTTAATCAAAGGACCCTAACCAATGTAGAGGCTCAATGTATAACTAATGTGCAGACCAAAGCAGTGCCGAGACACTACGCTGACAAACATGATAATCTTTCAAATTCATCTCTGGTAGCACAATTAGTTGGGACTTCTGGGATAGGGCAGATCAACATGATTATCTAGGAAAGAGAGGGGAAAAGGGAAAGGAAGAGAAGGGAAAGAATACAGAAGGGCAAAGAACGGTTAAAAAAAAAAAAAGCAGGCACATGTGCACACATGAACACATACACAAAACTATAAGCCATTACATTCATCTAACCTTTATATGCATTTTGGTGTTTGCCTTAAAGTGTTTTGGGTTTTTGTTTGTTTTTATTTGGGTTCGTATCTATGAAATATTATACAAATACTATTGCAAAGAGGGTTTAAATGCTTCATTAGGCTATTTGTTTTTAATTTGTTCCTTACTTTTAGAAATGAAGCTATTTAGAAGTGTTTTGTGCCAAAAAAGTGCATCGGGAGATAGCTGGATATATAAATAGAAATATCTCTGGCCGCCCTTTTCATTGGGCATAAATAAAGTTGTTCTTCACTTGCTGGTTAAGGTCACTTTAGAACTGGAAGCTATTTTCATCTCTGTGTGTCCCAGTGAAGACAGTAATTGTTTATTAAGTGTTTGGGACTGTATTGCAGCAAAGGGAGAAACGGCAGAAGAATTTTACAAACCAAAGGGATTTGTCACAAGCAGACAGGAAGGGGGAACACGTGCTTCTGAGCAAGCATGTTCTGAGCTTTCTAAAGGAGGCTGCCAGCTTAAAGAACACAGCAAGGGCGGCTCCCCAGAACAGTCACGTTGTCTGTGCCAGCTGACAGGCGCCCAGGCAGCATGTCCATCTTGTGAGTCCTCTGATGGAGAGTAATGGCAATTGTTGGTCTTCTTGAATGCAGGCCAGTGTGTTTTACATATAGAGGAGGTTTAGTTAAGAGACACTAAGGAAAGCAAAAACCAAAACTCACTGTGAGTGTAAAACATAAAACATAGAATACCCATGTTACAAGAATACCATGTTCCGATGAGTCCCATGGTAATGCAGATAAGTACATAAATGGCTGAAAGGAAATTCACCAAATGTTAAGAGGTTATTTCTGTACAAAGGCGGAATTAAGATAATTTTGGTTTTCTTCTTTATACATGTCTGTGTATTGTAGAAAGAACATATTATAAAAACTGAATAATTACTTTAATGAATAACCTAGAGAATAAAGGAGATTAAGCCGTAATTAACCATAAAGTTAGGATCATTTCCCTATATTTAGATCTCAACAAAAGTCTTTGCCTCAGAATCCTTAAAATTCAAAGTTCTTACCAAGAAAAGAAAAAGGAAAAAGATAAAGCAAAATTCACTAAAAACCATATACCTTTTTAATAGAAAAACCTTTCTTCAGTGCCTTTTAAATTTATTAACAATTTTAGTCAGGTTCTAGCTAGGCCAACAACTCTGTTCCTAAAGTACTTAGTTTATTAATATGACCAACAGCCAAGATTAACAATGGTGAAAATTTCCTATTTATTGGCACTGATTTGACATGAATTGAGTTGGAGTTTTGAGAGAAAGGAGACAGAAGAACAGTCTAATTCCCAAGGTAGATGAGAAAGATATTCAGCAAAAGACAGCTTTCCCATAAAATACTGTGCACTTACTGGAGGTGACAGAAAGTAAGACTTCTGGAGGAATGGCCCCCAAATAAGAAAATAATTAAATTAATATTTTAAATTAAAATTAAAAATTAAAGTACCCTATGGCAATTTCTAACCTGAAAAATCATTAGGAGGTTAACAGCTTCATAAAGTTATCATTGACAAAACAAATTCCAGTCTTTCTGAATAGTTTACACTTTTTAAAATAGAATCTTACAGACTCTACGTAATTTCCAACTACATGTTGTAAGCGTTTGGGAGCTTTTTTTAAAATATTGTTTTGTTGCTGCTGTGGCTGTTGTCTTTTGTTTTCTGGCCCAGTTTATATCAAATGTAAGTTAAATTAGTTCTTCAGTGGCTCTCAAAATGAGCTTTCTTCAAGGAAGAATGAGGGTAAGACCTAATCACATTCTCCTCATCTTGCTGTGATAAGATTTATATTTAGACCAGGTATATTTTAAGTCTGAGTTTATTTAAAGTCGAATGTACATAGATTTAGCAGGCCATGATTCAACCCTGTGTGCCTTCATTTTGAATTTTTATTTACACCTTTCATTTTGCCTGTGAAATATCATAGTAGGAAAAAAGCCCAAGGCTCATACCAACAAAGGGGGGATGGTGAGGTTAGAAGATCCAGTTTGGACGTCTTAGGACCGGGGGGGGGGGTTGCTGGGGTGGGCCAGGTGCAGCCCCCAAAGGCAATAAAGGAGATGGTAAGGGCTCAAGCGGGTCTAGTAGTGGGAGAGAAGGGTCTGTCCAATGTCCGCCCCCACCCCTTACTCTCAGAAAGCAGAATTTCCTCCATTTTTTGAGGGATTTTTAGAATATAAATTATGGCCTGGATTAAACTGTTGTTCTGCTAATCCTCCCAAGGATCACATTTTCTTTGAGAAACCAAGTGAAACTGAATGATTATGAAATTGCTATGACATGTTGACTAGAAAAGCCTGTCCTAAGGTCTCTGAAGCATTTACTTTGTGAATTTACCCCAACAGTGCTTTCACGTGTCCTTAGTGCTCTTTGCATTTATGCCATGAGTCCAATGCCCACTTTGCTTACAGATGACCAACCTGAGGGTCTCATCACATAAAGCTGTGTATACACATGCCCCACACCCTGAGGAAGGTCCCTGCAGTCCCAGCCTCCCCTGTAGGGGGACGGCCAGCTGGGAAGTGGACACATCACCAAGTACTACACTGCATCTGACCTGGTTTCCCTCCTTGTTTCAGATTTCAGGCATCTCTGTCTGGGTCTCAGTCTCTTTTAACTCACACTAGCACTTCAGCAGAACTGTTGTATCTTTAGAACACTTAAAATGTAGAGTTTTCAAGGTTTTTTTTTTTTTAAGAACAGTATATATATTGGAATAGCTATATAGCTTCGCCCAGTAATAAATAACTCTTTGGGGAAAAAAAACGAGATGCTTAAGATGGATATTCCTGCAAAACTCCAGAATTACTGTGAAATCACATTTTTATCTACCATTTTTAGAGCCCATTTGATTTATCCCAGCTTGGCATATTAGAATAGACACGGGGATACAAACAGCCTGATAGTTAAAATTTTGTCTGCATATGAATCTCCTCTGGCTTCCTTCTCTGCCAGGAAAATTTTTCCTGTTGTCAGTCAACTGATCCTAATATCTTCTTGGAACAGAACAAACATTTTAAAGTGCAAAGCAAAAGTCCTCCCCCAGCCCTGGAGAGAGAACTTTTTTTCTCCCTTGAGCTGTTGATGTCTTTAAGAGAAATGACTTTAGTTGGTTCAGTCAGATGATAGAGGACACAGTTAGTTCCATATAAAGGAAAATGTTTGAATACCAGTACCGCTGATTTCAAGGAAGGGTTATTTGTATAATACTGTTTAAGAAGATAATCTGAGTCATAAATTGCTCAGCAGCTAAATTCCACTTAAGCAACAGCAGAAGACTAGTTATGTTGTAGTTTTGAATTTTGTATCTTTACTTTGGAAAAGTCCCATATTAGTATGCATTTTGAAATATTTCATCAGCTTAGAAAGGAACTCAGTCCCCCTGACTATGGACTGCATTGCTTTAATTAACTGATCATTTCCAATCCTTTTTGGAGTTTTGGTCAGAATTAGTTACTCTGAACCCAAAGAAGAAAATGAAGACATAGCTTTACCTTAAACACTATAAGGGTCTTGTTTTAAGGTAGATAAAGCAAGTCTTTTTAACACAGCCTTATGGTAACTAATCCAGAATCTTTGAGCTTATTTCAACTATTATCCCAGCACACATTATTTTAACTGTTGGCAAAACATAAATTGATAGAAAATAGTCACCAGGGAGAATCGTTAAAAACCAAACATAGTAGTGATAGTCACAAAAAAAGAGATTGAAATAAACAAACAAAAGAAAACTGTTAGAATGTCTATTAAGCTCTTCAATGATCTTGTATTTTAGAAAATGAAGTGTGTGTTAGGGATGATTCATAGGCTGGATAGGAAAGTGGTGAGGAGCCAGGTGGAGGTAGAGAAAGAAACTCAGGGGACAGGAATATTGGGTAGAAAGAATAAATTCTTTTGAGCTTTTATAGTTTTTATTATCAATTTGAGCTAAAAGGAATAAAACATTTTGGATTAATTTAAATAAAGCAAGTGAAAGGTGCCCAAAATGAGAATACTGACATCAATCTATCTATAGAAAGAGAGAAAAGAGATTTTAAGGAATTGACTTATCCAATTTAGGAGGTTAGAAAGTCTGAAGTCCACAAGGCAGGCCAGCAGCCTAGAAACTCAAGAGCTGATGTTGCAGTCTTGAACCCAAAATTTGCAGTGCAGGCCAGCAGGTGGGAAACTTGGATAGTGTTTCTATGTTGCAATCCTGAGAGGAAGAATTGCTTTTTCCTCCAGAAACCTCCATCTTTGTTCTTATGATCTTCAACTAGTTAGATGAGGCCCACCCACATAATGGAGGATAATCTGCTTTATTCAAAGTCAACTGATCGTAAATGTTAATTACATCTAAAGCTATTTTCATAACAACATCTAGACTGGCGTTTGACCAAATAACTGGGCACCATAACCTGGTCAAGTTTACACAGCACAATAGCTTTAGAAACTACCCTTAATTTTGTACATTTTAGTTTCTCATAGTGATTAGGAAGAACAACATGACGTAGTTAGTGAAATGTTAAATAGTATATATATTTCTGAGAGCTTGGGGTTTGGTGTGCATCTGTGTGTCTGTGTGTTAAAGTTAGTGCCATATGCTCAGAACTATTAGTGTTTCTAACTTATACTTTCAAAACAAGTATATGCTACCACAGCATTTCTCCTGCAACTTTCCAAAGGAATGTAATCTATACATTTCAAACATACAGTTGAATATACCTCCAATAGTAACATTTAATAAAACTTCATTCCAGATTCTGAATTATATGGCTAATATTTTTGAGGGGGGATGTGCCTAAACGTAAAAGAAATAAATGGTCCATTTGGATACATGACTTCAGTAATCTAGACATTGATCTTTTGTCCTTTGTTTTAACATTAGCAAGATAAAAAAAATCTATGAGAAAGTTTATTCAAGCTATTTGCATCACTTTTCAAAAGTGCTTATATACTTCAAGTGCTTTGTTTTGTTTCATTTTATTTTTGGTTTTTACTTGTTTGTTTGCAGAGTGAATCATTTGGTTGGTTGAGTGATTGGTTGGTTGGTTTTTGGACTCAAATACTTTATTAGGACAAAAAAAAGAACCTATGAATATAAATGGGAATTTAGAGAATTATTTTGAAGAAAATGATCATAGATTTTTAGTTGGTTTTATTGAAAGTACCATATCTTACTAAGTATAAACAATTTCACTAGCTTCTAAAAAATAATGTATTTTTCTAATATTTGCCTTTTTGAAGTTGGATAAATAGTATATAAAGGAAAACCATTAAGAGTAATCACAATACATATATTTAAGTAAGTCAGAGTATCTAATTTGCAATTTATGTAATGGAGACAAGTGGTTTAACAAAAATGGCACCAAAATATCAGAGTAATGGGTTTAAATCATTTAAATGATTAATAAAACTAATCACATTAGCAATTTAAAGATCTATTTAACTTTGGTACATATATTCAAATCTCTTTTATAGGTATTCAGACTTATATCCATCCCTGTTGTAAAAGCCAACAAAAAAGCATTGTCTTTCTTTGCTAGGTTTATAAACACTGGTTTCATTTGAAAATACAAAGAAATTTCTAGTGTTATCCTTAAGGATTATCTTATTCCTTCCATACTTTAACAGTCTTTTTTTAAAAAGAAATTTCTCTATAGCTGCTTTAAAAATTAACTCAAACTTAGAGGCTTAAAACAACGCAAGTGTATTATCTTACAGTTCTGTAGGTAAGAAATCTGAAATAGATCTCACTCAGGCCTCCAATCCTTCAGGACACTCTAGGGGAGAATCTGTTCTTTGCCTTTTTCAGCTTTTACATTCCTTGGCTCAAGGCCCCACTCCTCCATCTCCATTCAGCAGCATCAGGCCGAGATCTTCTCACGTGGCCATCTATGTGGGTCTCTTTCTGCCTCCCTCTTGCACTTACAAAGATGTATGTGATTAGATTGTTCCCATCTGGAGAATCAGGATAATCTCCTCATCTCAAGGTCAACTGATAAGCAACCTTAATTCTATCCATAATTCCTGCTTACTGTGTAACCTATCTGCAAGTTCCAGGCTTTAGGACATGGACATCCTTGCGGGAGCCATTACTCTGCCCTGTAGGTTAATAATTCTTGCAGCTAGGTGATGGGCACATAGGGTTTGGTATACTAATCTATCAATTTTTATAGATTTTAACTTTTCCAAAATAAAAAGTTAAAACATAAATTTAGGATCCTCTATAACCCAAGGAACCATGTCCAGAAAAGAATTCTAAATTCAGTTACAACCTCATTAGTATTCAGCCTTTTAGGAAATTTCCATATTTATTTCCAGTGAGCCATCTGAAAAAAGATACAATAATGCAACAATTTCAAAACTTAAAAGTATAAAAACATAGGCATACATTTTGCCTCCAGCAAACAGCCCTTCCTCAGATTTCATGCCAAAACAAAAGTTTAAAATAATTTTAAAAAATACTTATTACAGATTCTTAGAACCTTTAAGTTTGGAGAACTCATATATCGTCTGGTCCAAGCACTCTGATACATGACTTTTCTGCCAAATGGTTATCCACACTTTGACTGAATGTCTCCAGATGGGGGGCTGGGGGGTGGTCATCCCCTGCAAAGTAGTCTGCTGGACTCCTGTGAGTACCAAGACTTTGTTCCACCTGTATGGCTTTGGAGAATAAGTGTACTGCTACTTCTACATAACAGTATACTACTTCTACAAGTATTTGAGAGTAGCTCATACATCACCCTGAGGCTAAATACCTTTAGTTCCTCTAGACGTTAGTGGCAACCTGAAATTGCTAAAGAATGAAGGCTCCATCCCTGTGGAACTTTATATTGGAGGAAAATTTGTCTCTTTAAAATGAAAATTCCCCAACTCATATAGCTGATAAACTGAATCACAATACAGGGGGAAAAATCTGGAGAGAATTTTACTGGTTCTGTTCTCCAAAGCCATCCTCACACATTTTCTGGGATTCTTACCTTCCGTAGAAAGGATATTTCAACTGGGTGGTAACTATTTTTGTCCTGGGTTAGTCCTGGACGTAGCTGTCTGCACACCTGTGAGCCGTGAGCACAGATGATTGAACTAGGGAGATTAGAGGAGCTCAAAGTGATGCGATTGATCTGAAGGGCTTTCAACCTTCACTGAAGATCTTTCGTTTAATAAGGACCAGCTGAAGTTCTGCCTCTGTAACTTGAGAGGGGTGCTGATCTCTTTTCACCAATTAGCAGATTTGAAAGCCAGTTTTACCTGAAAAATAAAATTTGACAGAAATTGCATGTTCCACTTTTCACTCTTCTAGTACCTCGCTTGACAAGATGTGCTGTGAGGCTTACAATAACAAAACTAAACAAGAGGCCATGGCTTTGAAGCTTTTAAAGCTTACTTAACACATTTTATTACTTCGGGAAAACTGTAGTGCTAATAAAACCTATAGGAGGACCAGAGCTATGCCATTAGATTTCATTAGATGATATGGATAGAGTCTAGACAGTGTCAAGGGCATGGAGGGAGTGGGGTAAACACTGTAGAGGCCCAGCTGATGGGCAGGAGGCTCAGTTCTCACCACCTTACAAGACAGTTAACTGCCTCAACTTCGGTCAGTCAGGGTCTCATCCTGTACAGCTGATTGAAAATACAAACCAATAAAAAAAAATCCTGGTTAAGACATTTTGCTCTCAAAGCTGTTCAGTGACTTTTCAGAACTGAGACCTTTCCTCTTCACTGGCTTGTTGTACACATTTATTGACTCTGGGCGTAGTAGCTCCCGGTGCAAGTCTATCATTTATTCCATTTTCAGAAAGGACCACCTCTTCCCCCAAATCATACACTGACCAGACCACTTGACTTGGTCACACACGACCCACATGCCTGACCAGTTATTAGCCTTAGTTACGCAGGCCTTTAAACCAAGCTCTTTTGCTGTAAATGGCTAGCACGCTATCCTGCCATTTACCACTTCCTGGAGACATCTACCAGGAGCACTTTCAGATTACGTGCAGCTTTTATTAACTTTTGCCTCTGTGGACAGGAATGCGTTATGAGTCAAGAAGCATGAGGTCAACGTATACCACTCTCCTCACCCTGTCCCTATGTTTACACACAAGAAAAGCCAGATTACTGACACAAGAGTTAGTGTTAGTCGGGATGATCTTTTAACACAGCACTTTATTTTTTCATACTTTGTGTTCCTCTCCTCTTTTTAACTTGCTTCTAAACAGTCTTAGAAGCTTGTCTGGATATACTCAACTAAAACTCCCTTATAACAAACTATTTGGCTCATGCAACTCAAGTCTTGCAAACTCAGAATAGCCCGAAAAGGCAACTGCCCCTGTTAATCACTGTCAAAGGGAAAGGTTAAAAGAACCTGAAAAAGAATAGATTATACGTATATAAACTGAAACTAACACAACATTGTAAATCAACTATACTTCAATTAAAAAAAAAAGGAAAGGTTACATGTCAATCATTCTAAAACCAAAGGTAATGTATTCGTTGTGTTGTTTAACAGTAACAGGTCAACCAGCAAGTTAACTTGTTTATTTGGATTGGTATAAATGTTACAAATTAGTCATCTTGGCAGATATTCAGCAGTAGAATTATTAAAGACAGGCATTACATGAGGACTTTCTTAAGACTGTGTTTTGGTCAAGGGGGCATCTGGTTATATCTCCTTTAAAAACTATTTTCAAACAAAAATCCTATATACTATGCTGTAATAAATAGGACACTAGGGCCTCTGTCGCCCTCTCCTTACATCCCTCCAAAATCATAATTTTGAAATATCCTGGCCTTTCCAGTGGGTACAATTTCAAGCTAACTCGGGGTAGCGTGGCTTTCTCTCAATTGTTTTTTCACATCCACACAGATGTAAAACAGCTCCAGCATCTGCCACGACTCACCAGGGTCTGCTCAGCTAGCTTATTCCTAACTCCGTTACATCCTCTCCCTCATCTTTTCTCTTCATTCACTCTCATTTTCACTCATTCTGTGTACGATTTTTGTGGGCTGCTTAAAATCCTCTATGTATATATATTTAATAAATAACTGAGTGGATGCACAGAGGAATAGACTGACAAATTTGTCCTGCTTAAGACTGAACCTGAGCCCTTCTCTGTAATACAGCTTAGCGTTTAGTAACACGCACTCCTGGAGATCTTTGTGACCTCATCTCTTGACATTTTCCACCATATCCTTCACACACCAACACTGAAGCGGCTACAACTCTGTAAATATACCCATTCTTCTTTAGGGCACATTTCTTAGCCATCTGGGACTTGATATTCTCATCAGAAAAGTGGAATTATACCTTTTGGGGTGATTGTAAGGATTAAAAACATTAATTTATGAAAAGTTCTTAACAAGGTGCCTGGCACAGAGTAACTGCGTAGTACGTGTTAGTTGTTACTGTGATTGTTGTCATAGTGATGGTCATATTTTTCCCCAGATCCATGGTTTAGCACATTATTTTCCCCTTCTTCCTAAAATACTCCCTTGTCCACCTGCAAATTTTTGTTTATTAACCCCTATAGGGTTAACCCCTGTAGAACAAGTTAGGGTCTTCCCTCTCTGTGCTTTTAAAACATCTTTATAGACATTTCTTATTTCACTGAACATGTTAATCTCTAATGATGTCTGATGCCTTCCCTTCCCCACTAGATTGTTAAAGGTGGGGGTCATGTCTCATTAAGGATATTCCTGACACTTGGCACAGAGGAGATCATCACTATTGATACAGGAGGAATGGAAGGAAGGAAAGGGAGGAGGGGGGAATGGAAGGCTAAGAAAGGAAAAGGGAAGGGAAGGAAGAAAGGAAAAAGAGCAAGAAAGGAGCAAGCAGATAAATGAATCCAGTCTTCTGGCAGCTGTCCTGTCCTCTGTCACTCCTGGAAGATCCCCAGCAGTGATGCATTGATCTCATTTACAAATTCTGTCAGTGCACTGATTAACAGTTCCCAAGTTTATCACTCAGGGCATAAATAACTCTGGTTCTGCACGATATTAATTCGTTTGCAGTGACTAATTTGCCTCCTATTTGATGATAATGCCAACTATTGACTAAGGCAAAATCCCTCAGCTTGCCAACCAAAGGAAAAAAAAAATCACTTATTCAGAAAATGGCTCACAGAGGAAAGAAGCAGCTGCTTTTGAAATTGACACAAATGAGCCAAAATTTCTTTACAAAAAAAGCTTATTGCGGTGATTCATTTAGCTCCAGTGGTGAGGTTTTGGTGAAGACAAGTGGAAAATGAAGGATAAGGGAGCACAGAGTAAGTAAGCATATTGATTTTCGTCATCATTTGCTTTCTCTCTGATGATTTTCCCCGTCTAGATGTTCTAAGTTATAGATGCAGGGTTCTTATTGATCTAGCCTGTTATACAGAGAAAGAAAATTCAGTCAGAAAAACAAAATTAATTGTAAACTGGAAACATTTTCTCATAAAGAGCAACAGTTTTTCTTATTTGACGTGACAAAGACCCTCTTTACAAACATCCTATTTTGGAGACGCTGTTCATTGGCAATAGAACTCATGAAAGTGAGGAAATTTTTCCCATTTTATGAACCAATATTTCAAGCTCTGAAAATGCTATGAATATATAAGTTTTATCTGATAGCCTGTCAGATGACCCTAATAGTAATAAAGGTTGCCAATTTTTTTCTATGGTGAAAAGATGTATGGTCACTAAAATGTAGACGAGGTTGCTTCACACACACGTTCTCTTGCCACTGGTGCAGGGAATGACCAAATGGAGACCACAAAGTCTTCTCTCTTCTTTCAGCCGAGGTTCTTTCCCAACCCAGTTTGCTGGTGGGACCCACAAAGCTGGTGAATTCCACCCCTCGGAGCAGGCTCAGCCCTTCTCTCAGGAGCCCGTCGTACCTTCTCCTTTCTGCCCTCCACATCCTCTTCTCCAGACTACAAGCCAAGAAGCCTTCTATGGTTACTCCTTCTCCACTCTTATTCTCTATATCTTCACATTAACAGTTCTACTTTCTATGTGTATTTTGTTTGATCTCTATTCCTAACTCTTCTTGGCTCTCTTACGATTATTCTTGTGTCTTTTAACTCTTTCTCTCATACCCCCTCCCTCCCCTCTTTCTTACTCCCTAAATCCTACTGCAGGCAGGTGAGGTCTACCCCTTCCAGCCCATCCAACACACCAGTGCCATAGTATGTTTCCTAAGTCATAATTCAGAAAGAGTTCAAATTTCCTAACTCTTGTAAGCCTTTTGCAGTCTGGCCACACTGGCCTATCTTTTCAGCCACATCACCCACCATTTGCACTTTTGAGTACCACCCACCTCACCCAGACCTGCTCCCTCTCCAGTCTTCTCTAGATCAGTAACTGATATGATCAGCCAGCAAGTTACTCAAGTGACAAAATCTAGGGATTTTCTTTGAGTCCTCTCCTGTACCCCTGACATCTAGTCCACCACCAAGGCCTTTGACACTACTTCCATGATATTTGCCCACTCTTCTGTCCATTTGTACTACTGCCTACCCAAACCACCATCATCATTCAACCAGGCTACTCCAGGAGTTCCTCTGTGATCTCTCCTGCCTCTCCACAATCCAGTTCCCACACAGCATCTGAAGAGGGCTTTGTGAAAACAAAAATCAAATCACATCATGGCCCCTACTTCTGCCCTGTGTCATCTGGCTGGGGTGAACCTCTGTGACCCCAGCCTTTACCACTTCAGCTCCCACTGTGCACCAGCCATGCTGGCCTGCCTTATATTTTTCTTACACACACTTTCATCTGAAAGCCTTCGCCCTAGCTGCTCCTTCTGCCTGTGATGCCTTTCCGCCTAAACTTTGCTTGGCCATTTATCTTTGTCATTGAGCTCTCAGCCTAAATGTCAGGATATTCTTTAATTATCCAATATAAAGTAGCTGCTAAGTCATGGTCATCCCACCCTGCATAGAATTTATCTGATAGTTCTTTTGGTTTTTTGTTTGTGTGCTTATTTGCACTTGTTCACTGCTGAACATCTAGAACAGTGCTTGGCTCTTGATAAGTATGTTTAATGAGTGAATGAAACTTGCTTTCCCATCTCTATGCCCTGTCCACAACACTGGACAGTGTTCCTGACGGGGAATAATGGGACCAGCAACCAGAGGTGGACTGAGTAGCTATGGAGACAGTGAGGCTGAGGAAGAGGAGGAGAAAACAACCTGACTAGAGGGGAGCATCTTTGTTGAGTTATAGTTACAAGACAAGGTCAACTAGGATCTTCAACATCAGATTCATAAAGTTTGAATCAAATATGATGTTCTAGAGGATTCTTCTTAAGCCAGGGGAAACAAAAACTATGCACCCCATGAAGTCAATGATGTTGTTTTGGTCACTCTTATAAACTCAACACCTAGAACAGTACTTGACACACGTTGGATGCTCAATAAATAGTTGAAGACATAAATGAATGATAGAGGATGATATAATCTTTAGGATTCTTATTTAGAAATAGTTTAAAAGACCCAAAAGAGATAAGAAAACTATAGAATAAAATTTCTCAAAATCTAGGCAATGGATTGTATTTAAATGATTTATTAAAATTCAGTTTCCTGTGCCTTTTCTAAGACCTACTGAATCATCTAAGACCGGGATCAAGAATTGGAATGTTATGAGTTTCCTGTGTATTACTTATGTGCACACTAAAGCTTAAGAATGACCACCCTAGAAGAGGTAAGATGATGAAAGATCTAAAGTAGGGTCCATATTTGAGGGAATTCGTTGAAAGACAAGTTGCCAGAATTATGTCAAGTATGGGAAAGAGTCAAAATGACTGTTCACAACCTGGAAGGAAGAGAGAATTACACTGCAATTTGGTAACATATAGGAGACTTGTGCATCATTTGAAAAACCTATCACGGTAATAGATTTTCACCTTTTGAAAGACAATGTAAAGGCATATGTACAGGTGAAATGTGAGACTAAACTAAGAAAATTATGTGTTCCCAAAACAATGGGAAGTACTGCACTATAATAAAAGCAAAGGTATTGCCGCTGCATTCCACAGTGTGAGTGCTAAAGATAAGGAAGTCTCATTTCTTTTTGTCAAAACCTTTATTAAAGTCATGTTACTCCTGTTTATTTCACAGCGAAAGCATTGCATATGTCTCAGTAAATAGTTCTTTGTGCAATAGATCCTTGAAATTGGCTTCCTCCCAGCCATAACATTAGACCACTGCTAGAAAGCAAGAAGGAAATGCCAGAGACCTAATTAGAGGAAAGATCTGAGTGCAAATGTCTCTGGAAAATAGTAACATTTTAGAAAGTTCTGTTTTCCATAGTTCAGATTTTATTCATAAGTTGAAGGCTTCAGAATCTAGAATCCATACTTAGAATCGGATTTTTTTGATATAAAGCTGGGCTGAGGCCAGTGAGTACGACTCATGAGAAGAAATCTTAAAACTTGGAACTACTTTTGGCATGTTAGCCTCTGTACTTTTGTGTTATGAGTAACCTGACATTTAAAATACCCAGTGAGTTGAATACCCAAAAGTAAATTAGCCCTTCCCACCATAATGGATAGATGTTTAATATATCCTTGCAGAATGATCATCATAAAACCACAAGTTCCTCTTGTCAGGTTCCAATTAATCACTATCATATGAAGGAAGTAAAAAAAGGAAGGTCAGCTGATAGAAGC